GAAAATCCTGTAAATGAAGAACTCACAAAAAACTCTGGAAGCAACGAAAACAACATCAACAACGATATCATCAAAACGAAAAAATAACCAATTCGTGGTATACTAGATTTCGTTGGATTCCGCAACAAACTAATACATCTAATCGGTTCTGATAATTTTCAATTAAAATCATCTACAACGATTTAAAAGTTCAAACATCTAAATCCAAACATTACCGTTAAGTAATTCATTTTCTTAAAAATTAAAAGGCACAATACCACGAATACTAGCCCCAAGAAGAAAAAACTTTTCACGTAATCATTCGAAACCTTCACCCGTCCACACCAACCACAGGAATAGATACAGCCATAGAAGGTAAAGGGTTCTCTGTCCGCCATGTGGCAAACGTTCTTCAATATAAAACAAAAAACAAACTAACAGTATTTTTTGTAGATCTCGATCCAGCAATAATTAATAAGAATATATTTACCTAAGATCACTACTTCACACAAAAGTTTAAGTAGAGAAACCCCACAAACGCAATGATATTCTACAGCGTCTCAACTTCCAAGAGTATGGCCACTCAAAAAAATATTGCTCATACCAACCAAGATGCGTCCGTTATGGAAAAAACCATTCATCCATCAGATGCAGCAAATCCAATACAACACCCGCCAAATGTACTTTCTGTAAAGGTTGTCAAGTCTATAATGATCTTCAACATTTCCGTAAGCCCATCTCAAAAAAATATGGTAATATAAGCAATAAAAATAACAACGATAATAATTTCAAAGACACTGATAAACCCACTACTATCTCTCGAGAGATAGTAACTTCATCAAAGTTCTCGACCACCTCCACGCTCAAAATACCAAATAATTCCTTACATCAATCATTAGTCATCCTAATATGAGACGCCAACCACAAAAACGAATTAATAATAACTTAAACTGAAAAAAAGTTGATATCGCCCTAGTATCAGATACACACTAATTCACCTAACCTACGTTTTGAATTATATTCTCAGACTGTCCAACTTCCCTCTCAAATGGGAATAATCAGTCATAATATTAATTCCGAAACCAAGTAAACCTCCAAATATTCCATCTTCCTGTCGTCCTATAAAGTCTTCTTCTATTCTTTGCTAAGCTCGATAAAAAATTAATCCTTAAACACATATCTAAAATCATTAATGAAAAAAAAGTAATAGGCACCCAATTTAGGTTTTGTAATAAATAGGGCCTGGAATTATATGCAAAAAAAAA